CTGTTGAGTACTTTTCCTGTGTTGCCCTCTTTTGCTCACGTATCAACCACCAGGTTGAGGCATCCTTCTGCCCAGTGCAAAGCAGCTGATTATTTATGTCCTTGTGCCGCTCTGAAAGTCAAAGAACTTCTATCTTGGCACCCCTCTTGTTTTGGAAACCTTTTTGTCTCCTTAGCCGAGGTCCCTATCACCCTGTGGTGCTGGAACAGCTCCCAGCAGCCTTTACCTTGAACAATCACACCCTGCCTGTATCTCTTTCACTTTATAACTGAGTCGTTATCGCCAAGGTCTCCTGATTATTTCCTAATTTTTCAGTCCTGCCCACTATTTGCTCTTCCTTTCAGCACCTGTTTCCCAGCTGTGTGCTTCCCACACGTCTCCCGCCTCTGCCAGACAAACAGCAGTGGTGGCAGAGGGAGATGGGGCAAAACAGAGAAGGGAGAGAGAGTCAAACAGGCACAGCCCAGCGGGCAAATCCCACCTCTCCCATGAGAAGGAGGAATGAAGAAATGACCGGGGTCACCCTGTGGGCTGTCATGGGTGCATGGCATGGCATGTCAACAGCTGGGACAGAGACGCCGTCTCTGAGCTGATGCTGCTATCCTAATCATGGCATCAGGCATATAAGCTGTGCTGCAAGGCCAGTATGCAGTAATGCCTGATGTCATGACTGGGATGCGGCATGCATTATTGTTACACAGACCCACCCCAGGCAGACATTAGCCTCCTCCAGCCCAGTGGAACTTTAAGAATTATTAAAGAATTAAGAGGATATAAAAAAATCCCCAACTGTTTTTTGTTAGTTTCTCTCCCTTACAGTTCATTCTTCTGTCTGTGCTGGCTTTGAAGTTACCCGGACACCGACAAACCTAGGCTCCATGCCAGCCTGCCACTGGAGTAAGGCGTGGACTCTAGAAACCTACAGTAATGTTATGCATGGCACAGCTGCCTAGAAATATTTTGTGGTTAGCAACTGCTTTTTCCCAGAAAAATACCTCTGGAAAACAAATCTGTTAAAAAGGGGTGAAATGAAACAGATTTTGTTGGGGAGCAAGTGTTTCCTGCAGACTATTTCACTTGCAGATGTTTAGCTGCATCAGAGCAAGTGCCACTAAATTGTGTCAGCCTGTGTCAAGGAAGGCGGGTGACTAGTGTGATGTGATAATTTAATACCTTCATACTGCACATTTCAGGAATATGCATTCCAAGCTGCAAGCAAACTTGCATTGTTCAGAAAGATTCATCACATCCTAGATTTTAAGGGCAGGAGGGATCATTATGATCTTCTAATCTCATGTCTTGCATAACACAAGCCAGAGAACCTCACCAAGTAATTCCTCCACCAAGCCCATAACTTCTGGTTGATCTATAGCATCTCTTTTAGAAAGGTATCTAATCTTGATTTAGAGACTTCAAGTGATGGAGAATCCACTACATCCCTAGGTACGTTGTTCGAGTGCTTAATTATGCTCACTGCTAAAAACTTGTGCCTTGTTTCTAGTCTGAATTTGTCTAGCTTTAGCTTCCAACCATTGGATCTCATTGTGCCCTTTTCGATAGATTAAAGTGCCTGCTACTATCAGAACACTCTTCCCTGTGTAGGTGCTTACAGACCGTGATCAAGTCAACTCAACAGTTTCTTGGTTACACTAAACAGATTGAGCCTTTTAAGTCTCTCACTTCACAGTATATTTTCCAGATCTCAAATCATTCTTGTCGCTCTTTTCTGACTTTCAGTCCTTTCCAGTTTTTCAACATTCTTTCTGAAGTGTGGACACCAGAATTGGAGACAGTGTTAAGGATACAGCTTTAAACCTACTAACTGGGCCTGCTTCCTTACAAGAGATTGATTCAGGGATTGTATATTGCCAGTTGGTGGTTAAATGAACACTCAAGTGATTAGTTATGACTGCAACCTTAGAGCGCTAAATAAATATTTATTGATGATTATTCTTAAAATGACTTACTGAAAAAATTGCTTTTTTATAATCTTGACTCCGTAAATGGTGCTGCCTCTCTCACAGGGAGATAGCTTATTAATGATATTTTCCAGCTTGGGGCCATAAATCTAACTTGCCCCACAACAATTTGAAGAGACTGATTTCCAAGGTGTAGGAGAATAGGAACTGCCCTACAGAATGAAATCAATGTACCATCTATTCTGATACCCTGTTTCCAACAGAGGCCAGAGCCAAATGATTCAGAGGAAGGTATAAAACAGTAAAAAGGTGTCCTCATAAACAAGAATTATGAAGTATCAGAGGGGTAGCCGTGTTAGTCTGGATCTGTAAAAGCAGCAAAGAGTCCTGTGGCACCTTATAGACTAACAGACGTATTGGAGCATGAGCTTTCGTGGGTGAATACCCACGAAGAAGTGCATCCGAAGGAGCGGGTATTCACCCACGAAAGCTCATGCTCCAATATGTCTGTTAGTCTATAAGGTGCCACAGGACTCTTTGCAAGAATTATGAAGTAACATAAGTAGGAAGAATCTTCTTAGCCGCAGGAAGTTTGTGGTTGGTTTTTGTCCTGGAGGTATGGACTGGTATAGGAACCATGAGGGCTCTAACGGGAAAGACAGCTCTCTCAGTCCTACTCTTCACAGGTTGACTCTAAGAATATTTGCATGGCCAGTTATTGCAACTGCAATTATGATCCAGGTAAATGTCTGCAGAAATTAGGGCATGCAAATACGCACCTATTTTGCATACTTGAAAGTATGCCCGCATTCCTGAAAATCTAGGCCCTAAATATTTTTGTAGTGATTTTGTTTTCTTGGTAATTAGATGAAGAGAATAGAATCTCACCCTCACCGTAATGAAGTTTTCCTTTAATCATAAGGCAGGGAGATCATCTTCCAGATAATGGCTTCATCGCCTGATTTACAGATTGACCTAGACCAACACCACCTTTGGCATGGTCCATGTCTTTGGAAACCTGTCATTTCTGAAGTGCCTTAGTTCAATACCATGTTGTAGCTTAACATTCTGTGACTCCAGATGACACCAGTCTTGGAGTGTGATCCTCTGGTGTCCTGGCTGTAACTCCAAGCAATGCCAGTGACATATCTGCCTCTGCTGGCAACGAATTACAGGTCTAAATGATCTTTAAAACTTATTCTGACCGACCTTCCTCTCTCTAAAGCAATTGCATAATAAGGATTTATCCCAAATCTGAGCAAAAGACAGAGAGACTGCTGGTTCAACTTCAGGGGCTGAAGTGACTTACACAATCAATTTGTTTGTATTCCAAAGAGATGGTGCCTTAAAACCTCTATTTTATCTCCTTAAGGTGATATTTCCGGAGACGTGCCTGTTATTTCCTTCCCCTGGCTCCGAATCAGATAACATGCAAACAAACCGCACCAGACCTGGCACAGTCCAGACCCTTTGCTGTGGTACCTTTCACCCTCCCTCCCGTTGCTTTGCTCTGGCTGCATTCCTTGCTTTGGGTTGTGCTGCAATTTGAATTTTAATGGCCATTTGCAGCACTCCTGTGGACATGTCTGGGCTATGAGCTGCTCTCCCATACTGGCCTGTGTGTTTGGGAATGTGGGGTCTCCTCGCCTCCTCTTGGATGGAATGTCCTGCCCGCAGAGACCTCAGCACAAAGAGCTCCATTGTGCATTTAAAGATTCAGGGCTAGAGCAGAGTTTGAGTTTCACTGTGCAAATCCATAAAGGGGGAGGGGGAGAATCAAGTTATTCTGAGGGTATCTATATAATTGCTTCCTATTTAGCTTTCACCCAGCATAAAGCACTATTGTTTGGCGGTGGCCATTAGTAGTATTCATTTATTTTACTCATACTGCACCATGATTGGTGCCTAATCCTTGGTTGGTGCATTAATAAAAGCAAACAAATAAATAAGGATCCCCAGAGGGAGACAGGCAAATACAGTGAAGAACTCATAACCAGGGAGGGGAGAAGTGGGGGTGGACGTGACATCCTGAGGTTTTGAAAAAACAAACTAAATGTCTTTCCCTCTAAGAGCCCAAACACGCAGCTATCTACATCAGACAAATAAAATAAATATTGGAGCACAGAGGATGCAACCAAGGAATTATCTCGGGAAGAAACAGCTGCAAAACACTGGAGGTTCAATAAGGTAACATCTCTCTGCAGACAGGTCGCTGGATTCTGTGGGGAAGGATTGTAGGCACAAACTGATGGCCATTGCTCTTCAAGGCAGGGAGTGTGATTTACTCTGTTTGTACAGCACCTAGCACGTGGGGCCCTGTCCTGGCTGGGCTGGCATTTCATTCATGAGTGCTCAGTACATAGCCAGTGTCCCTCAGTCCAGTCTGGTGATCTATGGCAAGAGAAGGTGACTAGATAACTACTGTCTGACTTTCCCTGATACAGGCATCCTGCTCCTCTGTGTGCTAAAGAGGGCTGTGGTGCAACCGGGTATGAGAGTGTTTGGCTATAAATCAGATCTGCCCAGTTTATACAATAAGGCTTGTCTGACTGCCAGCTCAGCCCACTGTTTGCAAATCAAACTGAGCTCTTTCTGTTTGATGCGTCATCACCAACTGTAATGAAATTTAACTGCAATGATGTTGCTAAACCACAAAAGGGAAAACTCACCCATGTATCAAGAGGAATTTAGGGTGCTGGTTTGCAACTACTGGTGCTCTAGGCTGAAGTATTCAAAGCTGACCAAGGGATTTGGGCATCCAGTTCCCGTTTAAAATGAACTGGAATTGGGTGTCTGAATCACCTAGTCTTTGGAAATCTCATCCTTAACTTTTGTTGTTGGTCTTTGGCTGGCTCTCCCTTCCCTACTCCTGTCACTGGCTTGAATTCTCCCATAATTGCCATTCAGAGATCTTTTTGAGATGCTGGTGCATCCATTTAGACCCCTGTGGGTTGGTATTTTGGATCATTCACCCTGGACCAGGACAGTGACTATTGCTGACTTTCTGGTTCCCAGATATGTTCATATTTGCCTTATAAACATCCCAGAATAGCATTGTGATTTCCTGTCTTCTCCTTGCAGTGAACCTTGTAACCTCCAGAGGCTGCGTGCTCTTGGAGCTGAATGATGAAGCTGCTACTTGCTGTTCCTCTCCTCCTGCTCATCTTACCGACCTTAGAAGCCAGACCAAAGCCTGCAGGTGAGCAGCTGGCCAAAGCTGTGCAAATTACAAGCAAGGAGCTAAAGCCCTGGCTGATGTGCAAGTGTGTAAGTCAGAGTAATAGATACCCCCTACAGTTAGCTAGAGTCTGTGGTCAGGGCTGCCCAGAGGATTCAGGGGGCCTGGAGTAAAGCAATTTCGGGGGCCCCTGTGGGGCCTGGGGCAAATTGCCCCACTTGCCCCCCCCCAACCCGGGCGGCCCTGTCTATGGTTACCGTAAATTGTTAGCTCTTGCTTCCAAACCCATCAGCCAACAGAATCTGACTACAAATGAGCTGAGCACTAGGAGAAAAACCATGAAGAACTCTTTTGATTCCTCAGTCTTTGACCCCACAGTTCCTAATAGAGTAGCAGTAGTTAAAGGAGACAAACAAACTCCAAGAGCAAGGCCCAGGTGAGTGCGGAACTCCTTGCCAGTCCCACTGCAGCATGTGCCCGAGGTGTGAAAACTCCATCCTGAGCTCTCAGGAGGCCGAGGTTGCTAAATTAGTTCCAGTTTTAGGAGTAGCAAAGACGCCAAATGGAGAGACCAGATGGGCACATATTAAGATGTCCAGGCACTTAAAGATTGCACTGTTGATTCTGGGCAGCAGACATGGGGACTTCATGTGTTTGTTTAATATTTAGGGTCAGATTCTCCAAGGCTCGTGTAACAGGCAAACCAAACACACACTCACCGCCGTTGTGTTGTACGTGCAAAACACCCTGCTCCTGTTTGCAGGCACAGATTAGGTGCAAAAGGGGACTTGGGACCATTTGACATGGCTCCTCCATTGTGGGCTTCTTCTTAAGAAGTCTGTCTCATTTTATGCCTGAAAAACAGGAGCCTGCAAAACAGGATAAAAATCCAGGCAATGTTGGATTTAGAGGGGAATAAAAGAATTACCCACAGTGGTACTATTTAATGCTATTATTATTTAATGTTTGCTCTAGAAGGAACCAGGAAGCCTGCTTGTGGAGCCTTTTATTGTATGTGAACTGCAGCTGCTAAAGGGCAAGGCCATCTTATACACACACATGAACTGCTCCGAGGCGGTGCCCTTGTAGAGGGTTGTGATGCCTCATCCGTTGTGAAAGCACAGATAGACAAGTGTCGTAATATACTTTTATATACCATGACTCCATGAGCGGGTGCAGAGATCTCAGGGCCTCTCCCTAACATGACCTCTCACAGCAGGGAGTCAGGAAAGACTGGACTGGTTTGATTTCCCCCCAAAATATTATAAAATGCTTGGGCACAAGCAGATAGATAGATAGACAGGAGAGTCTGCAGCCAAATTATAGCCTCCTTGGAACAGAATAGGGTTAATAACTGATAGCCTGACAGAGGTTAACCTCTACTTGAAGTTGACAGGGAGGGAGGGCTCTTGCTTGGAATCCTCACTACATGACGGTTCTGGCAGCACCACCCTAAAGCAGCAGACCCAGAGGACTCAGCTGGGAGGGAGTTGAAATTTGAAGGCGGGGGGGGGAGGGAGGCGAGTT